AAAATAGATGTTTTAAGCCAAGTGAAAAGTGAAGGGTTTGTATTTTTCGCCCACTCTTTTATATATTTCTGTACATGGAAGGATTTTCCGATATCAGCCTCTCCAACAGTCAGCACAGTTCTGGGTTTCTTCCCATTCTTGTCTTTAAATATATCAGATATTGTCTTCACTTTCACCCCAGTCTGTTCATTATTCTCTGCAGTGCTGTCTTCTCTTATGATGTGTTCTGTGTTTTTCTGGTTAGGATGATTGGTGTCTTCAATCAGTTTGTTTTCTCTAAGAAGACTTCTGCGCAGATGAGTCACCAGCTTTGTCCATTGCTTTGAGGTCTCTGAAAAAACAGAAAAATATAAAAAGATGTACCATGAATTTTTGTACTAATATGCACAAATATGAGTTTTGTAAATAAATACAATGACATGTCATTCTTTCTTAGTGTGATACCTTCTCAGAGGAAAGAAAATAGGAGTAGTATGTTAAATAAAGTACAAATATCTTGTGTTCTAAAATATTCTTCTGTTGACAGCGCTGACTTAAGAAGGATTTCTGTGTTAATGATGTTGTAAGAGTCATCCTCACCACTGAGATCACTCTTCACAGAAGCATTGCTGTTGTCAGTTGATCTAGTTGAGCTTCAAGGCAGAGAAGACATTTCTAATTAATAGTTTGTTTGTCAGCACAGCAAAAATAAATAAACTGACATTTCACTTTGGCAATTTATCATATTGTCTCCATTTCCTTTTATTCTTTTACAGTTATAACAGTAGGCTTACCCATACCTTTCCCTGCTTTTACTCAACATTTAGATTCAGAAGGTTTAATAGTATTAAAGTATTATAGTATTCCTGTTCAGCTTTATGGTAAACTTCAATGTCAAACATTTATAAATATCGAACCTTCTAGGTACCTCTGAAGCTTTTTGTAGGTTTCTGTCCAGTATCCTCTGTTCTGATTGAATTTTTAATATTACATACTACTGCATGTACTAAGAATGCATGGAGCTGACCTGAAAACAGATTTTATTAAGAGATAAAAAAAACTGATAATGACTGTTATTTCATGACTGTGGTGGGAAATTGGATTTTCTAAAAAAATAAAATAAAATAAAATAAAACAATCCACTATTAAATCAAGCCATTAGACATATAATTATTACTGGCCATTTTTTAAAGAAGGTGTGATCCAAGAGGCACCTGTCTAAGAGGGTCTAGATACAGATCCTTCCTGTCCACTATCCTCTGTCATTCCTAACTGTGCATAACCCCCTGCTAATGATCAAACCCTCATGACAATCCTTTGAATAACCTATGAAAGTATTGAAAAATTACAACTAAATAACAAATATTAGAACATTACTCATCAGCTGTTGGACTTTCAACATCACACTTAAATATCTTAAATATCTAAATATTCTCTGAATTTGGTTCCCTTTAGTTCCTCAAACTAACATCAAAGATTTTCAGTTAAAGGAAACCTCAAAATTAAGTCAAAAATAAGTCATTAATTAATCAAACCAAATGCCCTCTCATTATGATGAAAAAAATATTTTATCATTTAAAAACAAGTCCTATCTAACTAATATAGAACATACATGTTTTCGTGTCACCAATGATCATTACTACCATTTAAATGAATATCAATTATATTTAGCCATCAGAATTACTGTCTGAAGGCCAAGAAAGATGCCCAATGAATTTATTTTACCAAGTGGATCATCACGACCTTGCCGTATTGGTCCATTTGATTGACGTTTGTTGTTATTATTTTATTTTATTTTAAAATTGAGGCACAGGTGGCCAGAAGGGGACAGAGAGGGAATACCTCCCCTGCACCCTGGTGACACTCCTGCACCCCAAGGCCCTGTATGTGTGGGTGGGTGTGGTGGAGCGGGAAGAGGGAGGCAGTTGGGGATGGGGAGGGAAGGAAGGGAGGGGCTATGGGCCAGCTCCCCCGCTGACCCCAGTAGGCACCCCCACTCACTGGAATCAACCAAGGCCACGGCAGCAGCACCGCCAAGCCCCACAGAACCTGGGGTGGCCTGTCTGACCCCACCGCAGAGTAAACTGTACATAAATATTTGTTTTTTGTACCAAGTTCCTTTTCAAAACAGGCTTGTTATTTTAGATTTAACACGTTATTCATTTACTTAACAGTACCCCTTCACACTGATTTGAAAATTCAGAAGACCCCAATGAAAAAAACACAGAGGGAACAGTTTACCCTGCCCGGGATAGGGTTACCGGGGCCCCGCCCTGGAGCCAGGCCCGGGGAGGGTGCCCGAGGGCGAGCGTCTGGTGGCCGGGCCTTAGTCCATGGGGCCCGGCCGGGCACAGCCCGAAGAGG